TATATATATATATATATATATATATATATATATATATATATATATATATATATATATATATATATATATATATATATATATATATATATATATATATATATATATATATATATATATATATATATATATATATATATATATATATATATATATATATATATATATATATATATATATATATATATATATATATATATATATATATATATATATATATATAATAATCCAGTTTGTACATGCCATTACTCAAATTCATGTTGACAGATTTGGTATGATTAATGAGACTAGATTCTATAATTGGTTTACCTCATATCTGTCCAACAGGATGCAGTATGTCTGCTATAATAACCACCAACCTGACTCCTCGCCAATCTTGTATGGAGTCCCCCAAGGTTCCATTCTCGGTCCAGTACTGTTTTTGTTGTACATAAACGACATATTCCACGCCAGCTCACTCATAAAATACAACTTATTTGCAGACGATAGTAATCTGTATGCCAGCAACTCAGACCTCCATTCCTTGATGAGAACTATGAACACTGAATTAACTAAAATGGGGACCTGGGTAATATGTAATAAACTGACCTTAAACCTCGAGAAAACCCACTACACGATCTTTCACAGAAGGAAAAACTTACCCCCTGTACCTTGGTAATATAGTCCTCAAACGCGAAGAAAATACAAAATTCCTTGGAGTTATTGTTGATGAGAAACTTAACTGGAGAAACCACATACATGCCATTCACAGTAAAATCAATAAACAATGCGGTATCATGTATCACACACGACAGTCACTCTCACAGCAATGAAAGAAATCTATCATGATCTTGTTTACCAACACCTGATACACTGTCACACACTATGGGGGGCCTCTGGCTCTTCAAAAACAAAATCTCTGGTTACTGCACAAAAGAGAGTTGTACGGACAATGACCTACTTGAAAAAAACAGATCACACAAACGAAAAATTTGCTATATTGAAATTTTTAAAATTCGAAGATATTAACACTTACTGCTGTGCCCTCTTTGTTTACAAATATATCAATCACTTGCTTGACAATAATTACTTCCAGTTCCGGAATAATCAGAGATACAACTTAAGGCACCCAGAGCTACTAAGACCACCCCCCATGCGCTCCTCTCAGTCCCAGACCTCCATAAAATATCATGGAGTGAAGGTATGAAACAACTTACCCCCACCCATCCGAGCAAAGACTACGCTCCCTTCCTTTAAATCATCTCTAAAAAAATATCTATTGTCGAAGTATTAATATTTCTTGTAACACTTACTATATTTACAGTACCTGCTTTTATTGTACCATCAAAACCGTTTTATCGGAAATTATCATGTAAATAAATAAGTAATTACCATTGCAATAAACATAATTGCCAACTAGACATAATCCTGACAGCTCTGTCCTCTTGTTCAACCTTATTACTGTACAACCCAGGTTGTACTGCTCCCCCATTATACTTATGTTTTTAAATTCCACTCTGTAATTGTATATGTGTATGTGTAATGTGTATGTGTATGTATGTATGTATATATATATATATATATATATATATATATATATATATATATATATATATATATATATATATATATATATATATATATATATATATATATATATATATATATATATATATATATAAATAAATATCCTGTAAAAAAAAATAAAAATAATGAATAATAAAATAAATAAATAATGAAGTGACAACCGTGGTAACATTATGAGATGTACTTATTACCACCATGCTATTGTACTATTCCATATGATACTGAATGTTACATAATACTTCCTTGAGATAAATGTATAGTGCAGTATATATCAGGTGCCTCAAAGAGAGGTCAGGTTCTCAACTGGCTCAGCCATGTTAATATTGTTATTATTATCCACTCTGTATCTGTATTTTTCTGCCTAAATAAACTGTTTTAATTCAATTTAAACTGAATTACCCAGTAGAGGGTCCAAATCCTTACAGGTACCTAGAAGAGGGTCGGGTGACTGACCAGTACCTAGTAGAGGGTCGGGAAACTGACCTGTACCTAGTATAGGGTCGGGTGACTGACCTGTACCTAGTTGAAGCTCGGGTGACTAACCTGCACCAAGTAGAGGGTCGGGTGACTGATCTGTACCTAGTAGAGGGTCGGGTAACTGACCTGTTTCTATTAGAGGGTCGGGTAACTGACCTGTTTCTATTAGAGGGTCGGGTAACTGACCTGTTTCTATTAGAGGGTCGGATAACTGACCTGTTTCTAGTAGAGGGTCAGGTGACTGACCTGTACTACCTAGTGTGCAGCCCGACACACTCTTTGCATGCGGCCCACGGCCAATTTGCTGCTCCAGCCTTACCTTGAGTAGCTAAAACTAAATAGTGAGTGTATCCCTCAGCTGAATAAAATAGTCTGCTGTTTCCTAGAACAAAATACTCAATCAACATCACCAATGAAAGAACAATAAGACTAGAGATAGTTTTAACGGTTAATTGTGGCTGTAAGCGTGCCACTGTACGAGTTGTGAGACGGCCGATTGACTACTGTTCACGTATACACCCCATACAGTACAGGTATTAGACATGAAAACTCTGACGCGGCAGGCTCTAGCTTGGCCAATCATTCAAGTACTAGTACATAAGAACATAAGAAAATAAGAAGTCTGCAATAGGCCGGTTGGCCTGTGCATGGCAGCTCCTGTCGAGAGTTACTACCACTCTCTATCATCCATGAATCTATCCAGCCTCCTTTTGAAACTTTCCAGAGTTCCCGCACTTACTACAAAGTTGCTAAGCTTGTTCCACTCGTCCACCACCCTATTGTGAACCAGTTTCTTCCTATCTCCCTCCTAAACCTAAACTTATCCAACTTGAATCCGTTGCTCCGAGTCCTATCCTGCTCGGATATTATAAGAACTTTATCTATATCCCCTTTATTGATTCCTTTCACCCACTTAAATACTTTATCATATCTCCCCGCACTCTTCATCTTTCTAGGGAATGCAAGTTAAGTTTCTTTAGCCAATCCTGATATGGAAGGTTTCTAAGTCCCGGAATCATTTTTGTCATTCTTCGCTGCACCGACTCTAGTGAATTTATATCCATTCTATAATAGGGCCACCAGAACTGAACCGCATAATCGAGGTGTGGCCTGACTAGCGCAAGATATAGTTGCAATAAGACCTCTGCACTCTTGTTACTTACACTTCTAGATATAAAACCCAATACTCTGTTTGCCTTATTTCGAACATTAACGCACTGTTTTCTAGGCCATAGGTCCGGGCTTACAAGTACCCCTAGGTCTCTTTCACAAGTCGACTTCTCTAGGTTGATGTTGTTAAGGCTGTATACATTATAAGTATTTGTTCTTCCAATATTAAGTACGCTGCACTTGCTAGTGTTGCAAATATCCAAAGCAGCAGTGATCTTTGTTTTTACTTTTGAGCCCATAATTATGTTTTCAAAGAAAAGAACAGTTAATGAAGAGTGTCGGGTGGTACAGGATAAGTGGAAAATCTTATACTTTTTTGTTGAAATGAATGGAAAACTAACATGTTTGATTTGTAATCAACAAGTTGCTGCGGCCAAAGAATACAACGTTCGAATGCATTATGAAACTAACCATGCTATGAAGTACAATAAATATAGTGGAAAGTTACGTGAAGACAAAGTTAAGGAGTTGGAGCAGTCATTGAAAAAACAGCGGTCAGTATTTAAGAGTCTTCATCAAGTCAGTGATGCTGCAGTTAAGGCAAGTTACAGGATTGCCCATGAAATAGTTGTGTCATTGAAGCCGTTTTCTGAGGGGAACTTTATAAAGAAATGTATGTTGATGGCTTCAGAAGATATTTGGCAGAAAAAACGTCAAGCATTTGCAAACGTAGGCCTCTCAAGAAATACAGTTGCAGAAAGAATTGGTGAATTATCAGAGAATATTAACAGTCAACTCCATGACAAAGTTAGGTCCTTTACTGCATTTTCAGTTGCAATTGATGAAAGTGCCGATGTAAGTGATGTAGCACAACTTGCAGTTTTTATATGTGGTGTGGATGAATATATGCAGGTAACAGAAGAATTTGTGAAACTGGTACCAATGAAAGGAACAACAACAGGTGATGACATATTTGTGGGTTTGGTGGGGGCACTGGATAAATTAGGTGTTGACTGCACACAAACTCTGAGTCTGGCTACAGATGGAGCACCGCAAATGGTGGGTAGAAAAGCTGGCGTGGCAACAAAATTAAAGGAAAAACTAATAGCTGTGAACCCGAACCATCAAATTTATAATGTGCATTGTATTATATATAAAGAAGTGTTGTGTAGTAAAACATTAAAAATGGATAATGTCATGGGTGTTGTTATAAAGACAGTGAACTTCATACGCGCGCGAGGTCTGACCCACAGACAGTTCAACTGCTTATTGAAGGAAAATGAGAACACACACGGACTGCCACATCACACTGATGTTCGCTGGTTAAGGCAGGGAGTCGTACTGAAGCGATTTTATGAATTGAGCAGTGAAATACAGATGTTTATGGAACAGAAAGGAAGGGATTTGCATGAACTGAAAGATAATGAATGAGTTCAAGATCTAACTTTCATGGTGGATATTACAGAACACTTAAATTACGTGAATACAAAGATGCAAGGACGCAATAAATTGGTGACAGAGTTTTATGACTGCATTCGTGCCTTTGAGATGAAACTTCAGCTATTAGAACGGCAACTATCAGAGAGTAATCTTTCTCACTTTCCGACCTTGAAGTCCCTGCAAGGCACACCTGAGCTTCATGCTGATATCAACACAAAAAAGTACTGCATCAAGATTTCCACATTAATGAATGAGTTCCAAGAAAGATTTGCTGACTTTAAAAGACTTGAGAAGAATTTTTTCATTTTTTGGGACCCATTTTCTGTTGGTGTTATTGAGGTACCATAACATCTTTAGTTAGAATTAATTGAGCTCCAGTGTGATTCTGTGTTGAGGAACAAGTTTTCGAGCGTTGATGTTGGCACATTTTATCAATATTTTTGACCAAATTATCCCAGGATTAAATGTTTTGCCTCAAAGATTATGTCAATGTTTGGAAGTACATATGTCTGTGAACAACTCTTTTCTGTGATGAACTTGAACAAGTCTCGGCTTCAGTCCCAACTTACTGATGCACACCTTAATTCAATACTGAAGGTTGCTACATCTCAGTCGTTAGCGCCAAACTTTGATGCACTGGTCCATACCAAGAGGTGCCAATTATCAGGAAGCAGCAGTAGCAAACAATAAGATTGATCAAGATAAGTAAACACCTGATTTGTTTGTTTGTTTTTAAGGGTTTCACATGAGCGCAGACTAAATCCACCTTTCTTATTTTGTCGTACTACTCACCTAAGAGGTGATTGCGAAGTGCTCATAATTATGTTACTTAGCCAGCATACTGTGTACTCATATGAAAATCTGGCCCGCCTTGGCAAATGAGTTTGACACCCCTGTCTAAGTAGAGGGTAGGGTGACTGACCTGTATCTAGTAGAGGGTCGAATGACTGACCTGTGCCTAGTAGACGGTCGGGAGACTGATCTGTACTGCCTAGTAGAGGGTCGGTTAATTGTCTTGTACCTAGAAGAAGGTAGGTTGATTGACCTGTACCTAGTAGATGGTCGGGAGACTGACCTGTACCTAGTAGAGGGTCGGGTGACTGACTTATACCTGGTAGAGGGTCGGGCGACTGACCTGTACCTAGAAGAGGTCCCTGTGTCTGGCCTGCACTCGTACTTTGGAGAGGGTTGATTAAGTGACCTTGTACCCAATACTGGGCCAGATGACTGACCTGTGTCATGGTAGTCGCGGCCCTCAACACTGTCCTCCATCATGGTAGGCATGTTGTCCGTCGAGGTAGGCTTAGCGGAGTGCACCAGGGTAGTGACCAGGTCCATACGGGAGTCAAGCGAGTACTGCTTTCCCGCCATCAACATGCCCTTTATCCTTCGTTTCACGGCTGTGTGCACGATAACATTTTAGATTTTGCTGTACTACTTATGTTAACCAAATTGAATATCTACAGTATGTTTCCACATAAACCGGAGACATATTCCTTCCTTTTTTTTTTTTTAAATTAACTACTCGTCACTATATTACTGCGCGAATCAATTTGAAACTGACTAGGCTCATACCTGCTCCAGTAAACTTAGACCCCTTCCTTATCTTTCTTTAATTTTGGTCTTTTAAAAGACTTATGTAGTCAAGGGTTAAACCACAATATCCAATGAACAATAATTTAGGTAAATTAAGTACAATTTAGAACAAATACAACCTATACATTTTAGGTCATCTTACAGGGGTGAAATCTGGAAAAAACTCATGTAGGGGTTTTGTCAGTTATTCTGTTCTACCTTAACCAATATTCATGAGACTTAGTGTAAAGCTAGTTGGGTACGGACCCTAAACAATAATATAAATGGTATTAGAGTTTATGTCTAATTTTGGGTTTTTGACAATTGATTTTTCTGTAAGTAAACAAATTTTCCTGGAAACGGAAACAACCCCCAAAGTGCAATATGAATATATCGTTATTTTTTTTATCTTTTTGACCATTTTACAGGGACTAAAACTCAATAATAAGATCACGTGAGACTTTTTTGCATTAACTTAAGAATGTTGACCTTATATATAATGATTTATTTATTTATGGTAATTTCTTTTAACATTACCCAATTTTTTATTGCTAATATAGACATAATTCTAATTTGTGATGGATAGAAAGCCTTCAGTAAACAAGGAAGCAGTGTGACCTACAATGCCTTCACTTCCTAACTATGAATATGGGTACCAGTTTTCAACTGGCAATACTCGGGACGGTCTGGGCGACTCAGCTGCTGCGCCTCATAAATTTTCAGCACTGTACAATTGTCTAAATATAGATAGATTCTAAACCACTGTACTGTACAGTAACAACTTAATTTTTGTCTTTTATTAATTCAAAATAATGTTTCCTTTTTTCTATAAATTAAACAACACCTACCCGTTAGGAACTTCGTAACCCTTCGTATTCTGAAAGAGACTAAACGTAACTTTATTAATTCAATTCCCAAATTAATATTACCATTCCACACTGAAATGTGACAAGAATTAGTTTATGTAGTGAAACAAAAAAGATTTAGACAAAAAGATGAATCTCCGTGCACTAACCTTTACCTGGGGAGTCTTGTACGTCCAACTTCAGTTGTTGGAATTTCTTGGCGAACTCGAAGAGAACGTCATTATTGTCGAAGATGGCAGCGAAGGAACCGTTCACAATCTTCGGCGACATGGGTGAATTGGCCAGGAGAAGTGAGGTGCCAAAGTCTGGGTTCTTCCTAGTGTCTGTGAGAACCAAGAAAACGATTAAGACGTGTGGTTAAACACCTTGATGCTAACCTAATTTAACCTATACATATCGCCCGTAGTCCAGGCGATATGTGCAAAAATACCAATGAATTGTGCATTTTCTCATAAAAGCATGTTGCTTGGCACAGTTATAGATTATGTTTTTCCTGATGATTTTGAGAGGTGGAGGCATTTCGAAAACATTCCCTGTCGATGACAGCGATCATTTTGTGGCTGCCATTATGGCAAAAGAAATATATATATCTACCCTAGCTCCGCTAATATACATGATGGCATGAAAATAATGGCGTGTGTACCCCTATTTTGGAGGCCAATGTTTACTATGGTGTCATGTAAAACAATTTAAGATGTAGAGATGTCCTCCAGTACGGAAAATGAGACAGCCAATGTTGAAACAGAGATTAATCCACGTATTTTTAACCACCATCATATATTACAACAATATATTTGAGATGTCACTTGCCATGTTTTCATGGTTAAACAAAGCTATTTAGATAGTATATCTATTATAGCACGGTTTTATTAGACTGTATATACAAAGGATTCTTTGGGGTTCCTAGTGGGCTCTATATCAGTGTTCCGAACGAACTTGGCAACCCGGGTAATGTAGACTCCTTCATCATAGGTGACACATATATTGCCCGTACAAAACACGCACATGTGATAACTGCCAGCAGCCTCTACTATATATGCTGTTAAAGAAAGCCTCCAGCAAGTACACGGATGGTGTAGCACCAGGAGATCAGCCCAAAAACATTGACTGCTGGTGTGTCCGGAGGAAGGAAGAAAGTCCCTAGTTTCTCTTCTTGCATATTGCAATGCACCTGGAACTTCTGGTATTGTCATATGTATGATAAATACGGGAGGCTTACTTCTCATCTATCCAGACTGTCTAAAAACTTGTCTCATGGTTCTTGATATTAGATCACATCAATTATGCACGCTGGCTGTCAGTTTATGTGCGAGACATGGCCAGTCTCTGTGATGCATACCCAGACATAATTATAGTCCAGAGGATAAGGGAAAAGCCATGTAGTTTTTTACTACAGCATCAACTTTGTACACTGATACTAGGACCCATGAGGAGCATTTTAAAGTTTGGAAACAATTTGTATCTGCCTGCTGGTGGCTGTGGTGGGCATTTTTCAAAATGGCAGCAACATCACATTAAAAAATGCAATATCTCAGCTTTTATTGTAGTTAGACCTTTGATTTTTGTGGCTTTACTCATGCTTTCAGACCCAAGGAATATAATAATAATATTGATATTGCTGTACGATATGTAATTTATTCCGAAATCCAAGTTGACAAGTAAAATGCGGACTTTTTGCCACCCCGATGTGACCAATTCTTGCATTATGATAACACATATAGCAGTTTTACTCTTCTATATGTTATTTCACTTCAAGTACATACAAATATCAATAAATATAACAAGCCCCCATTAGTATTTCAGTTATTTATTATCCAGATCCAGATCATGGAATACAGGTACATCAAGCGTCAATTTCATGGTTCTGTGAAACGTGTTGACATGGGGTTTGATGTATATAAAGCAGATAGTCTGAAATCAGCCGCAAGATAAAAAGGGGGATATGGTACCAGACGACGATTTGAGGGCAGACAAAAGTTCCCAGGGAATTAGCGGGCCCTTCTGCGAGAGAATGAATATAACAAATATCTCTTTCATCTTACTAGTACCCAGGTCAACCTGGAAGAGTATCCAGGTAGTGTATTGGTCACCTATCAAGAACATGTGATGTGCTCGGAACCAACTTATTCAAGTGAAAGAATATCCCTATGTTCACATGAGGAGGCAGAAAACTGTATGGTTCTGCATGCTGCAGACGAAGCACATCGAAGATACAGAAAAATATTCATCAAGACTGTTGACACGGATGTTGTGGTGCTTTGCATAGGCTTCGCTACAAAGATAGGCTGTGAATGTCATTGGGTAGGATTTGGTACAGGACGGTCCTTCTGCTATCTTAATGTTACACAGATGGCTGAGGTATTAGGTGAGGAAAGATGTTCAGCTCTACTTGCTTTCCATGCACTAACTGGCTGTGATATCATCTCATCATTTGCATGAAGGGGTAAGTGTACCACCTGGATTGCTTGGCAAGCTTACAATTAACTGACAATTGCCCCTTGTGTCCTGGTTCAAACTCCAAACACCAGATAACATAGCAGTTATCCTTCCATCCATCGAAAGATATATTATCGTGATAATGTACGACAGGGTAGCTCAGAGAAGGATGTCAATAGTGTAAGGCAGAATCTGTCAACACAAAAGTGACAAGAAATTGAAAACTTACCAACAACACTGTTAGAGGAAAGTTTTTAATCACCGGAGTTAACACTTTATTTTATTTCTTTCACCTTACTAACTCATTTATTTATACCTTTACATATACAATCTTAAACATGGGATTTCGTGAGGTTGCGGTACTGGTTGATAACCCCAGTGATTAAAATATCCCTATTACAACACAGGAAGCACTCAGCACTAGCTAGCTTCGAATTGGCTGTGAAGCTGGTCATGTATGAGTCCAATCGTTGTTGAAGCCATTCTCAAACTCCAAACGTCGTGCTGCTCCTTTCTTACCCCTTTGTGAAATACGCCTCCAGCATTTCAGTCACAGTTCGTCGCACTTCTGCCATCATATTGGACCCAGGATTTTGATCAGGTGCTGAGCATTCAGGCTCAGGCAGAGGGTGGCCCCCTTCAGCTTCAGTTGCCGTAAAATCGTGGTCGTTCAGTTCTGGAGGGACAACTTCTACCTCTGGGTCTCGGTCACCTTCATCCATGTTCACCCTTCCCTTTTGTTGCTCTGGATCCATTTCCACAACCTCTTGTCCTTTTATGGATATTAATTTACAGCTCCGGTTAGGTCTCAAAATTTGTTTGATGAACCATTGCTCACCGCCTGTATTTGGTGGTGTAGCTCACTGCTTGTATTTATGTTTGATGATAGTAGGTCAATGCTGGTTGCTTGTGGTGTTACAAGTGGCACTTCACTGCTGGTTGCTTATGGTGTATTACAAGTGGCATTTCACTGCCGATTGCTTACGGTGTTACAAGTAAATTTAATCACGCTTACCTTGTACTTCGTTGAGTTGATTATTTGTTACTTTAAAACCGGTGGTAATGAATCAATCTTCCTTTCCTTCGTAACCTCAGTAGTTGGCGGCAGCTCTGCCTGTACGAAAAGGAACACTCGCAACCTGTGATCCACATTCACATGACAGTGTCCCGACCAGTGCTGCTGTAATGTATGTTTTCCAATTTAAGGGTACAAGCATGCAATACGAAAGGAGGACATGAAATTCAGATATCATTCGATGAATTCCTTATTTTAAGTAAAGTTTAGTAACATAATAATTCATTGCTGATGCAGTAGAAAGGAAGATGAGGTTGACAGGTCAACGGGTATGGTCATTCTGGCACCATCGTGTAGTGAAAGCAGAAGGATTGTACACTGAATTAGTACTTCTGAGGTTTTCGTCGGGCAACCACTATGAAAGGCTCCTTATATCATCGGCGAGTATCGTCTCACATTTGGTCTAATTGTATTTGTTGTGAATTAGTTTATTTACAACCTTTGGATAAGTGTTCCATGAACCAGTTTGTGCCTTTTCATACATAGAAAATGGAAACTGGTATCGTTCAAGATAATCTACTTTATATTTCTTAATACACACCTATATTTACGACCTTGGATCACGGTTATGTCAAACTATAACAAATTAACTCCGGCTAAATTGTCTACGTATTTAATCTCATAGTACAATCTTCTTTCAGGACCACTGTTCACTCACATCTTTGGTGTTGCTTATGAATTAAGAGACTCTGATTCATGTAGTCATCAGTCTGTCTTGGTAAGTGGTGTATTTACTGTCGTTATTACACACTCGATAAACATAACTTTTATCTTTTATGTGCATTACATGTATGTGCAAGTAAACTCATGTTCAACTAGCAGTTCTCTGCAATACCGCTATATTTGGTGTAATCGTATGCATGCCACATGGGTGCACGGAGATTATGTAATGCTTGCGAGTCATCGTCTAACATATTCTCAACAACTGACATCTCCAGGTTATGCCTCCTCGTCCCCATTTCCAAGAAAATTGGCTATCGAAGGATGTTTTAGCTCTTGACTAGCTTGAGTACCAAGAACTCCGACGAAGGCATATCGTCAGGTTTGCCATAAATACTTAAGTGCCAAGACATCATTGTTGAAATGCCACCGCACCATAAGACAGCATGCGGGTAAGGAAGAACTCCTTAAAGCTATCACCTCTGCTCCGGGTGGCACGTTTGCTCATTGTGGTCAGCCTGGCGGCGGTGCCTTTGATCAACCTAACACGTCTTCACCCTGCCGGGGCCATACTGAGCACCGCGGTGAAAGCAACTGTCCTATTCGCAGCGTTTTTGGCAGAACATGATGCCATTCATGTGATTTAGTGTTTGTTTCCTCTTGTATTTTAGCCCAAATGTAATGGCACTGCTCAATAAGTGGTCATGATTAATGTGGCCCAAGTAAGGGTGGCAGAAACCTCACTCGTTTAGCAACATGTGATCTCACACTCTTCAGTTGCAAGCATAGCCTAATAAACTTAATATTCCTTTAGCTTATGTGACCACCTTGTCGACCTCAATAAGTGAATGTTCCAGATTCCAAGACAGCCGCTCAAATGGCAACGAAGCGGTGGATGGAGAAGGTGTGGTTGGTGAGTGTGACTTGTGAAGGTGTGAGTGGTGGAGGTGTGGGTGGTGAAGGTGTGGGTGGTAAGTGTGTGGGTGGTGGAGGTGTGAGTGGTGGAGGTGTGGGTGGTGGAGGTGTGGGTGGTGAAGGTGTGGGTGGTGAAGGTGTGAGTGGTAAGTGTGTGGGTGGTGAAGGTGTGGGTGGTGAAAGTGAGAGTGATGAAGGTATTGGTGGTGAAATTATGAGTGATGAACGTGTGGGTTGTGAAGGTGTGGTTGGTGAAGTTGAGGGTGGTTTGGGTGTGGGCGATGTATCATTAGGTAGTAAAGTTGTGAGTGGTGGAAGTGTGGGTGGTCAATGTGTGGGTCATGAAGGTGTGGGTATTGGGGGTGTGGGATGTGAAGGTATGGGTGGCGAAGGTGTGGGTAGTGAAGGGGTGGATGGTGAAGGTTTTGGCTGGTGAAGGTATGGATAGTGAAGGTGTGGGTGGTGGAGGTGTGGGTGGTGAAGGTTGTGGGTGGTGAAGGTTAATTTTTTATTTTCGCCCATGGACAACAGCTGTAGCGGAAAAAGGATTGTAGAGTAGAAGTCACAAAATGTGCTTATTAGACCCCAGTGATTTTGATATTATGGCATTGAATGTTACAGAGTACTTCCAGTTCATTGTTGAAGTTGGTACATAAAATTTTGATTAGGTATACTACAGGGTAGATGCAAGTGTGAATACAGTCTAAGTATATCAGCTATCTTGTCATCAGAGATAAAGTGCTGTGCCATTGCATACACAGTGCTTAGATCTAGCCCTATATGCTTCTATTTTTTTACAGTTGAAGGTGTGGTGAAGGAGTGGGTGGTGAAGGAGTGGGTAGTGAAGGTGTGGGAGGTGAAGGTGGGAGGTGAAGGTGTGAGTGGTGAAGGTGTGTGTGGTGAACTTGTGGTTGGTGGAGGTGTGGGTGGTGTGGGTGGGGTAGGTGTAGATGGTGTAGTTGTGGGTGTTGAAGGTGTGGGTACACAACATTAAGGAGGCAGGAAGGAGCGAGGTCACCTTTAAGGAAAACTTTGGCTTTGTGTTCCTCGGCAGGGGTCTTGGAGAGCGCTTGACTGGCAACTGCCCGAATGATTCCCCAGTCCCTCGATAGGTCGTCCACGGTCGTGTGGGTTGAAGTCACTGTGAACCTGCAACATATTATAGTAAGCTGTGTGGGTTGAGGCAAGGATTCAAATAAGGATTCTAATACTCTAGATCTTGAAGGATAGCCCATAGTGGCGCTGCCAAGCGGCTGGGGAATAAACTAAATAATTACCAGACAAGGCATAAAGGGAGATAAACCTAACCTAACCAGTTTTTGGAGGTCACCTGCTGCTGTGATGTAGGATACAGCTGGGCAATCTAGTACGCTTATGGTTACAGACAAAAGAATTTATGTCTTTTCTTAAAAGTAAACAATTTCCACACGTAAGACAGTCTTGATGTTGGTAGGACACTGTGATCTTGTAATATCTGGATTGTTTCACTATTGTTCTGATAAACTCGCTGAATAACAGCTAGATAAAGGGGAGAGAGCTTCAAAATGGCTGTTTCGGCCTTCAAAATGGCTGCTTCAAATTGATTGCCCAGCCAAGTCACATGACATGATACTTGACGATCATTGGTTGTTATGTCGTGAAGAGGAGGAGGAAGAGGAGAGAAGTGACTCTTACAACATGGTGGGTATAGAAATTTACGCCTAGAAATTTGTGAGGTACTCCGTTAATATTGATTTGCACAAAAAATTATATGAAGTCATATTTTTTTTTTTTTTAGTCTTTGTGTCTGTAATATTGAAAATTGCAGACCTGCGGACAGCCAATGGACGAATATAACCAAGATAAGGAAGATACTGTTTTATTCTTGAAAATATAGGATAGAACTTTGAAGCTTTGGGTCATTATCCATTTTAGGACTGGATATTTCAATGTTTTTTAATGGATTTTATATTTATTTATTGGGCAATTCATGAAAACCTTACCAACCGAACCCAAATTATGTGGCAAAATCAAGCCAAAAATGAACCAATCCAAACCTAACTTTACCTACCTAACCTAACTTTACCTACCTAACGTAACTTTACCTACCTAACCTAACTTTACCTACCTAACCTAACTTTACCTAATCATTCTTTACCTAACCTAACCTAGCCTTTGTCTTGGCAATTTTGTGTTGTTAAAAAAAAATGGTTAAGAATCAGCAGAGTACAACCACGTAACTCCATGATGATTTTTATATAGAGAGATAAAGATATATTTTTATAATTTTTATTTTTACTATTATTCCAACTTGGAATAATGTAGCTTGATCTTCAAATTTTTTCCACCGTAGCAGCCTAATCTTAGAACCTACAATCTTAAATGATTACAAAAATATATAATATTATTTGGTTTGGCAAGGTTATACTTTTGGAATCAGCATGAAAATCTAACATAACCTAATAAAAATATTATATATTTTCAAAATTTGTTTCTCCCAAAATCTTTTTATATTTTTGATATCAGCAGGAAGGGCTTAATTAAAAAACAAACATATATATATATATATATATATATATATATATATATATATATATATATATATATATATATATATATATATATATATATATATATATATATATATATATATATATATATATATATATATATATATATATATATATATATATATATATATATATATATATATATATATATATATATATATATATATATATATATATATATATATATATATATATATATATATATACCGTATAGTGATTTTGAAATTCCATGATGGCCATTTAGCATGAAAGAAAAAGAATGTAAGATTGATTTTCCTTACCTACATAGTAATGACTCCCAAAATGTATAGTTTAGAACAACCCCAAAAAAAAACGAAAATACATAAGAAACCGGACTATGGGCACAGACCAGCTCGAACACTCGAGGAAGAGAGACTGGCTTTAACATTGATGAAGACAGGCCATATGAGCGTCCTTTTGTGTGAATTTAAAGACATATTAGAAAAATGAGCATCTATCAAACCCTAGACGTTATTATGGCGTTAACAACGTCTGGCCTGGCGGTTTCAGGACATTCCCGTCACAAGTTAAGATTATATACTGTGTATATTTTGTGATACTTTCTGAGTAGAATTTTAGACTACATGAACCAGACAGAATATTGTCACCTGTGCTAATATACAGGCACAATACAATTTAGTTGGGACATTGTTATATCCATTACATTTTAAGGTGGCATAAAAGAATCCTCGAGATATATCATTATTAGGACGGCTCTGTCGTCCAGTAATGATTAGTAACACGGTGTAAATCTATTATAGTCTCTTTTTATTTGCTTTTACCAGGGTATGCCATTGAATCAATGCATAGTAATGCTCAGAATTTTGGTAATGTAGCAGCGGCAAAATTTATTAGGTGGTGGAGTAAAGCTCCGTCTTTTTACTGAACGGGGTAAACCACTGTTCCAAAATACCGGATAAGTATTATTGCTCAGTACCTGCCATGACTATTGTAGTACATTGCCCTGATTAAGTATTATTCTAATCAGCTCTCTAAAGAGATCTTCTTTCCATGATGTAGGTGAGTGTGGTTGTGTCCTACCATAACCTGTACTGTGTTGCCGTGGTCTAATATAGTTCATTTTATTAAGTCAGTGTCTACCTTATAATAGACACGTGAAATGATTTACATACTTCCTGATACATTGCGACCAGCTGCAAGACCTGGAGCATCCTGGGGTTAGAATGTCTGATTTAACAACTGCGATAGATATTACCAGTTGTTACAGAGATAGATGGGATAATGGTTCCTTAAAGGTGTATTCAGAAGTGCATTTCATAATCTAACTGGCAAGGTTATACTGTATAATCTCGAAAAAATTTAATCGATTTCATTGTTACCTCTTAATACAAGATGTTATTTGGTACCAATATAAACAATGACCAGTCTGTATTGTAGCTCACACATTCTAACACCTTAACAGACTTCGTATTCATATCTACATATCCGAGATAGTGAGTAACAAGAAATCGGTTATTTTCAAATTTGTTTACAGGAAATGGGAACAAAAGCTACTGAGATCAAATAGAGAAATAAAAAAAAAAGAGTTTCTGGAGAGGTACAAACCTTATGACGTATTTTCCTTTGAGACACGCGGGAACACAGTGTAGTTTGCCTGTCGAATTCAGCCTCTTGAGCAGCTTCTCTGTTAGTTCATTGTCACCTTTGAGTCTGAATACCACCATCCCCAGGTATCGCGCCGCAGGGATTTCGAATCTCGGATCAGACTTAACGAATGCCTCAAACTTCTGGGCCATCCTCACTCCCTGGGAATTGTGTCGAAAGGTTAAAAATGGTGGTAAATGATTCAGGAATATCCCCATTACCTCAGGAGTGTGTGGGAAAGAAAGGAATTGTAGTAGATAATCCAGGACAATTCCCATGGACAAGGGAGTGAGTGGGAAAGAAAGGGATTGCAGTAGATTATCCAGGACAATTCCCATGGACAAGGGAGTGAGTGGGAAAGAAAGGGATTGTGGTAGATCATCCAGGACAATCCCCATGGACAAGGGAGTATGTGGGAAAGAAAGGGATTGTGGTAGATTATTCAGGATTATTTTCACGACCGAGAGATTGTTGTTGTTAAAATTTTATTACTGCACTTCGACAACGAGGGTCTTTAAGCGCATAACAAGGTTAGGAGTTACTCTATTCCAACAACATTTAAAAAAAAAATTGAGAGATAAAACTCTGTTAGTTTTCTACCGAGAGAGAGCGTAGGAAAGAAAGATGTGATTTTTACATGACCCAGGGCAATCATTACGTTCTGGTAAACAGTCCATATCTATATATCCATCATAAAGATAAACAGCAATTTAACAAGGTCCTTGAAACTGGCTTACGTGAATTAGACAGAGGAAAATAGGAAAGAATAAGGGAATGAAGTACAGTGTTCTATATTGATTATGTACAGTACAAGAATCAAGTATCATAAAATAAATACACAAAAATGAATAACAATAATGATGGTAATAATAAAGATACTAATGTTACGGGACCGTGATTATTGAATATTCATTGCCATTCTTCCTATTTTAGTCCAAGGGCAATAGGCTCAAACCCGGAACAAACTGGCAACAAGCTGAAATTTTCAGGAAATACCCATAAAAGCGTGATAAAAAAACATATGGAAATTCAGTTAACATCTTCCTTGTGTAAACGCAGGAATTAAAAGCGGCGTCTAAGATGGCCGTCATTCTATAGTGTATCATATATTTGTAACTAGACAGGATAGAAATATGAACCATCAATTACAGGATATAACAAAACCAAGATGGCAGCCCTTCTGCAGTATGTGGTATATTGTTAGCAAATAAACATAGTACAACTATAGAAATGAAGAGTGCACAAATATATGTTTTCAGACACCAACAAACCTCTTAAGCCATTAATTACATAATTTGAAAATAACAGTCAATATAACTTCCAAAATTAAAATCAATACATGTCATACTTTTATGACTAGCCACACAAAAATGAAGTAGAATGTAAGGGAAAAAAATTATTCCACGTAACATTCAAGTCATGTGTAAACCATAAAAATATACAACTTAATTATTATGTTATACAGTATTCTATTGTTGACCATTATTATTTTTGTTATCACCATCATTATCCAACAATATTGGTGCAGTAGTGATGCAGGTTTGACCCATGCATTTGCTGCACATTGTGGTGCAAAAAAAAAGAAAGTTTCTTGCACCTACATGACTTCCCACAACCAAATTTGCATGTATAGTCTCGTTCAAGATTCTTCGAACACTGCTGGAGACTGGCAACTCAAGGCCGTTTGTTTACTATAGTACGTAATATACAGTAATATAATACGAAATACCAAAGCCCAACCATTAAATTAAGCAACGGGTAACTAAGTAACCAGTCACCGATAACCCTTACATTTATTCATAATTTTTACTACGTACTATAGCAAACAAACGGCCTTGAGTTGCTAGCTGTCTCCACCAGTGTTCGAAGAATCTTGAACGAGACTGTACATGATACCATCTTGAGCAAGGTGTCGGGGCAACAGTTTCCACCCGGTGTGACAGTATTGTCTTGTGATTTCCCGTCCATTCCTGAAACCGTGAGATGCGTGCGGTAGGAAGAAGCCCGTAATGGTAATAAATGGAATAGTTTATTCCTATTTCAGAAAATGGATGTGCCTTGTATAATCTGCAATAAGAAGCTGGGTTCGAACTTATGATGCAACAATTGGAGATAAGGGCCGCATGACTCTTGTGTTGGCAAGCATCAGGTCTGATTATGGGCTTCAACAGATGGTGGAGAGAATATCACCACTAACACTTCATGCTGTTTACCGCAAGAACTATACACGTGAGAGCACACTAGCGGTCATCTGTTAGTGTGATACAGAAGCTGTAACTATGGAAAATAAATATCACGCAAACGCAAGAGAGGTGTAAGGAGTGTAGAATCCTTAGAATTTCAGTATACCGTCTTGAAACATGACGCAGATAGACAAGATGACTGGGGATATTCAGTTACAGAACTCATACAACATGCTTTTGATTTAGTGTCAGCTGAGGCAAAATATTATCGAAATTGTAATCAATTATTTCTCCTGAACAGAGATGAAATGAGCGAATCCACTGGCAGGCCATCTAATCAGGTTCAAGAGGAAGTTTTCAATGAGCTTTGTGCTTTTCTTGATGAGAATGATGAATGCTAGTACTCTCTAGTCAAGCCTTAGGAACATCCGGAAAGTCGAGTGTCTTCAGTTTTCGTGACTCGGCACACAAAATCCTCTGTGAATGGTTGATTACTGACAAGGTAACTGATACAAGTAGTGAGACCGAATGTCTCTTTGATATGGCTGCCGCAATAATCTTTGATGTTATCTGGTTGAGAGTATATGCTTGAGATGAGAAATATACAATGGAAGCAAGAGGAAATAAAAACACATTGATATCTGATTCAACAAAGCGTTCCAAGGCTATCGGTAGATGTACAATACTATCGTGGACAAAAGTTTGCTCCCCGTGGTGAAACTGAGTCACAGGAATGAGTCTCTGAACTGACTTACCCTGACTGTCATCTGGTGTGGGTGTGCTGTTTTATCTCATTTGGGGTCGATACTGCTTCAGTTTGGGAGGGAGCGAACTTTTGTCCACGATAGTACAGCCATAGCACACGCCATAATTTCAGCATGCAGACCCAAGTCCTTCATTTCACTAATTTTGTTTGGTATGCTTCCCGAGAACTGATAGACATTTTGAGCAGCAAAATGTTTGAACATACCCTAATATCAGTTAAAGAACCATCTCCAATGCTCTAGGTTGTTTCACATAGCTTGTGTATGACAACGATGATTTCAATGTAGTTACAGTTACTGGTCAGAAAACATTCCACAGTATGGGAGGCATAACTTGTGTAACGCCTCCCGGCACTGTGGCTTGCTCACCCATAAAACGTACAGTCAAATTACTATCTGCTGGAACAGTTGCCACTTTTAGGAACATTCCCATTAAGTCATAGAGCAAACCTGCTCTTCCCGGTCTGGAGGGTTTAGTAATAGGGCCCCTCAAAACTGTTGACCAAACACCACAGAACCTAAGCTCTGCAGCTGCCCTCGACTCCTTGTGGAGTGTTGGCTGTATTCTGGAACTGGCTCCTTGTCCTTCATGGAGTGGTTTCATGAAAGTGGCCATGAGGCGTGACCAGTGTGAAAGAAGCGGAATAGAAATCCGCCCTCTCATCAATCTCAATCCCACCAATTCAAGCTCTATTTACACAGCATTAAGTTTTGCACAAGCACAGTGTGAAAAAAAACATGGTCTGAAAATATGCCCAGTTATATTTGGCCAGTCATTATACTTAAAGGCTGCGGGAGTAGTAGCTGCTGTACAAGATCTAGACAAAATCATTGTGCGTCTTGGTGGACTCCATCTTCTGATGCCTTACCTCAGTAACATTGGACAATTATGGCGGGAAGTGGCCTAGCAGAGTTGTGGGAAGTGGTGTATGCAAAAGGATCAGTTAGACACCTGTTAACTGACCATGCTTTCTCACGTACACAACGTGCTAACATTCTTACCTCAGCAACCTTGATCTGTCTTACTAGAGACATCTGGTTGTATGGACAACATCAAGAGCGATCATTTGAAAAACCTTTACAAAGCTCTTCCTAACCAGGAACGTATTGGACACATTTATAAAAACTGGAAGCACTCTTGATGAAGTGAAGAGTGCAGGAGAAAGCTTCATTTTCAAGTTGCAAGGGGCTGACAAATTTAAAGCACTTGATGAACACCGCCATATAGCATGCAAAAGGGAAAATCGGTAGAAGTTCCTTAGGTTCATCACTTCAGCTAGAAAGTCTACTTTCAACTAGTGCTGCTGCAAAGCAACATTGCATACCAACGCAGTATCAACCCAAAACCATAAGTTTGCCCTTGATATTTTATCAAATATCATATCTGGTAGCAAATTTAAGATAACATAAAATGGCAACCAATCTGTTTTTGCTCTTTTCCTGTTATCAATGGTTTTATTGGATTTCTCGTGTCTGAAAACCTATGTTTAGAAACTTTGTTCATATTTCTATCATGTCTAGTTGCAAATATAGAATGACAGCCATCATGGACACTATCTTGAATACCCGAGTTAGCACAAGGAAGAAGTTCAGGAAATTTTGATATATATTTTTTTATCACACTTTTATGAGTTTTTCCTGAAAATTTCAGCTTGTTGCCAGTTTGTTCCAGGTTTGAGGTCTATTTGAGCTATTACTCTGACTGTTCCCAAATTATCCATTTCTCCTCTCCTTGTTTCTTATTGGCAGTTGCGTGAAGTTACCAGGTGCCCATTGATTGTGGTGCGCATGTCTAGGGTTTTAATGATCCTAACATTACTTAATTGTTCCTCTCTAGCACGCTTATATGAACGACATTGTCTGTAACTGTAATCCAATCAATCAACTGCCTAATTATTTCATAATACTAAATTTTAGATTAAGATGGGGCCCTCATGACAATGACATGGGATATTTACGATGTGGGATGAATTTTTTGGAATAAGATTTGATTAAACACTTTTTTTTAGATTGTATTTAAAATCAACTGTATTTAGATAGATATTTCTTCCCTCCTCACATAAAAATTTAGTCTCAAGAACTACTTAAAAGAAATTCAAATAACAAATGTTCTCAAGAAAACTCTTTTGTATATGTGTTGTGGCAGGCCAGGCTCCCCCCTTCCGACCTGGCACTGTGGCGGTCTCACATTTTAGCATGGTCAAGGCCAGACCTCTGGTTCCTGCCTCTGTGCTTTTTGCCACAGCACGTGGCCGAGGTTTGTTTGTCCTTTCCTAGGATGTTAGGTGGGAGTCAATTGTGCATTGGCTGTACTTCCAACTAGTAGATTGTGTTATTGTGTCTATATTGTTTTATGTAAATATATGTGAATCAGGTAGATTTACCCTGGCCCTTTTGTCTCCTCTCATCAGGAAAACTTGATTCACAATTATGACTGAGTGACTGGGAACACCTAAAATAATCGTATGAGGTAAATAACTAAAAGTCTTAATCTGTACTGGATCTTACTGATAATTATTAAACTGAGCATTATTTTTATCCACATCTTGTTAATGTGGTAATTTGAGAAAGATGTAATAATAAAAATACAAATACAAATACAATTACAAATAAATAATAATAATAATAATAATAATAATAATAATAATAATAATAATAATAATAATAATAATCATAGGGAAGGCTCATTTCTTTACTTGAGGTAATCATAAATACCTCTTAATCACTAGGATCCTTTTAAGCACCTAATCTCATAATGAAAACCTGTGATTCATTGGAATTATGTTGCATCGCTTGGTCACTTGACATCAATATGATCACCTTTTTTTTTTAATCATTTCACCACTTATCAGTTTACTAACCATTCGGGCGGTTGATCTATCCAGTGTTAGTACAGGAGGAAACCGGCGTCCGGGAAACCTGTGGTGTTTGGTAGTGAGGGTCACACTGGATAACACCCTTCTCACGTGCATCCAGGCCAACCAACAGCATTATGAGCATATAAGAGCCTCATAAAGTTATTAGACGCACCCATTGTTATTATAGACACCTGTGAGTCCAGTAAAATAACAATAATGAGGTAGTGCTGTTTTAGAAGCAGCGACAGCTCTATATATGGCTGGATGAGGCACTTACTTGCTCACCACCGGATATTTTTTTTTTAATCTATGCTGGTGGAAAATAGAATTATGGTAGGCAGCTTAAATTTAGAAAATGCACTGATAGAACCTTTCAAGTCACATTCACAAAAACAAGTTCAATGTACAATTCTTCTCGTGTCATGCCACGAACAAAATATGAATAAATGTTTACAAGTTTATAAAAAAAAATCTGACCACAAGTGATCAATATTGTGTCCAAATTCTTGCTTCCTACCTCAAGAATTGACTAATATATAACCCGTAAAAGCAAGCAAGAAAGAAGAAAACAAACAAACGGGGCACACACTTTGTGCGACGTTTGGAGATGAAATGGGGAAGGAGAGGTTTCAGTAGACCCCCAATAAACTGAGCTTGGATAAACTAAACTACGTGTGACATCATCCTTTATTTATTCAATAGCAGAAAAAAATATACTGCTGTTTTAGGCTGCTGCTAGGTATTGAATCCACTTAATATAACTTTCCTAGACCACATAGAATTAAGTCCAGCTAATTTTAACCTCTTAATCACTGCTGAAGAGAAATATATTTTTACACTGGCTCTTACACAAATAACTAGTATTTGCTTACTGAAATGATGATACTGTGTTATTAAACAGCTACGTTCACACTTCCGTGCCAATCACACTCCCAACCCACCACAAGAATGACGCCACGTACTGCTCGGCCTCTTACCTCGCGGATGTGCTTCTGTAACCCGATGACACCATAGCTGCGGATCACGAACCACAGCTTAAGTGCCCGAAACCGCTTACTGAGGCCAATCTGCCAGTGCTGTAGGAGCAGGATGGTGGAGAGTTACTGTTGATGACTCTTATACAGCAATGTATGTCTAGATAACTCCTATAATATACAACAGTGTAGGGCTTAATGGGTAAAGTATGTAATAATATGATAAGTTGGAGAGCAACATTAAAGGCAATATTCTGAAAACTCATTAATTTTAAACAAATTATAAAATTAAGAGGATGTATAGCACTAGCCACACTTTGATAATATTATGGTGATTATTATTGCTTACTTACTAAAGCCAAATGTAAAAGAATTGTAAAACCTCATAAGGTTAAGTCACAGCTCCAACACTTGTCTCACACACACATAAAATAATCACACTATTCCTAAAATGAGAAAAAGCATTAATTTAACTATGCACATGCTCTACAAATTTACACAGCCCAAATTAGTCATAATCTAAACATACTTACGGTGGCACTGCCTCAATTTTGTTTGATATTTTTATTTATTCTCAACTTTTTCACGATATTTTTTTCATTCGCTCTTACTGTCACTGTTGAGAACACTACAGTAGTTTCAATTCACCGTATATTAGCACTGGTCGTTGTGAATTACTAGTGCTTCCGGTCACCACGGTTTAGTGGTAGGAAATTACCTGTGCTGTTTGCGCTGACTATCTCTGTGTGGGTCATAGTGATTGACAATGGAGTTGAAGACATTAACGTTACAATTTTGTAGACACTCAGGTGTATACAGCGTTGAGGTGCACTGGCGATCACAGGTGTATACAGAGTTGAGGTGCACTGGCGATCACAGGTGTATACAGAGTTGAGGTGCACTGGCGATCACAGGTGTATACAGAGTTGAGGTGCACTGGCGATCACAGGTGTATACAGAGTTGAGGTGCACTGGCGATCACAGGTGTATACAGAGTTGAGGTGCACTGGCGATCACAGGTGTATACAGAGTTGAGGTGCACTGGCGATCACAGGTGTATAAGGCGTTGAGGTACACTAGTGAACACAGATGTAAAAGGCGATGAGATGCGTTGGACACAACCTAAATGTGTGATCGCTGCCTACAGGTCAAATAACTTATTGGAATACAACTCGGACTTGCAGAGTTGAAGATTTCGCCACCAGCTGAGGTCCTGAACGGTTGTCTCTTCTGGGCGAAATTGAACTGGACTGGGATATGGAGTGATGTAATAATGTATTGCTGCGATTAAAGAGCAGTCTAGGTTAGAATATATAAGTTATCGAGACTTCCCAATAATTACAGTAATCGGCAACAGAAACCCCACCCACACTTATGACGAGATGCAGATGCTAGCTCCCTATTGGTTATAATTCATTCCACTAGATTGCAGTAGATTTATCTAAAGTTCTATCCAAGGTGTTTTCGTGTAAGCGAGCAAGGAGTATTATTATGTAAAAAAAATTTTTGCTGAGAAATTTCTCATTGGGTACACAACTTTACCTGGGTTAATATACATCTAAAGACAGCTAATTAAACACACTGTGCACTCATCATACAAGCAACTCGCACACTCTGCACACAATTTGGCACAAGTCAAGCAGATAAGCAGAAAAACATCATGAGAGCAAGATTTTTTTTTCTCCACATTTACGTTAATCTCTGGAAGAAAAATTCTGGTGCGTGTTGTGTAGATTATTCTGGGGTTGACACAAAGTAAGAGGCCTTAGTTTGGGTGTATTACTTGATTGTTGATCTTCTAATTTTACAATTAATAATGATATATTGATAGATGAGTGTGGGTGTAAGATCGATGTGTCACCATGACTCACACAATGTTAGGTTTCGCACATTTAGAGAATGACGGGAATTATGGATAATGTAGAGCTGATGAGAGCAAGTCAGGGAAATGTTATGGTGCCATGGGTATTATTATAGAGATTATGCAATAACTGTGTAAACAATATAGATATTGGGAAAATATCCAGAGCTTAAGAATTATTCAGCCACTAGGAAATTATAGGTGATTGAAGACATTGTTCGAAAGGATTCATAAACATAAAGCTTATTATAGAGAACGATCACTAGGGTAGTATTCACTAAACACCTAAAAAATTTACAATGAAATATTTGCTTATTGCTGTATATCGCTGCATAACAACAACAAAAATATACAAGAAAATTTACTTACCATGTAATCAATAGCAAGACCTACAAAAGGCAAAGACAAATATTAACAGGAGAAAAGACAAATCTAAGACAATGGAGATAAGTTAAGTAAATTAAAGAGTCTTGAGTTACTTGTAGGAAAACGCCATCAATACTTATCTATCAACAAACCAAATGGAAACTTTGTAACGTGGATAAATTATTGCTAAACTAATACTAAGAGGCAGGCTTCTCTGTAACTCTCTAAGAGTCTAGTCTCCCCGAGATGGCCAGTGGACAACTTAAACTTTCAATTTAATTTAGGAACAGGAGCAAAGATTTTGAAGGGTGAATAAAAGTTGAAAAACGTCTTTATTTTTCAGATTTATACTGAAATATAAGTGATCGTGGGCCCTTCGTGCCCGGTGGCGAGTCCAGTGGTACAGTTTACCGAGGTTGTTATAATCATGGTCGTGGTTGTTATAATCATGGTCGTGGTTGTTATAATCATAGTCGTAGTTGTTATAATCATGGTCGTGGTTGTTATAATCATGGTCGTGGTTGTTATAATCATGGTTGTGGTTGTTATAATCATGGTCGTAGTTATAATCATGGTCGTGGTTGTTATAATCATGGTCGTGGTTGTTATAATCATGGTCGTAGTTGTTACAATCATGGTTGTAGTTATAATCATGGTCGTGGTTGTTATGATCATAGTCGTGGTTGTTATAATCTCGGTCGTGTTTGTTATAATCATAGTCGTGGTTGTTATAATCATGGTCGTGGTTATGATCATGGTCGTGGTTGTTATAATCATGGTCATGTTTGTTATAATCATGGTCGTGGTTGTTATAATCATAGTCGTGTTTGTTATAATCATAGTCGTGGTTGTTATAATCATGGTCATGTTTGTTATAATCATAGTCGTGGTTGTTATAATCATGGTCATGTTTGTTATAATCATAGTCGTGGTTGTTATAATCATGGTCATGTTTGTTATAATCATAGTCATGGTTGTTATAATCATGGTCGTGGTTATGATCATGGTCGTGGTTGTTATAATCATGGTCGTGGTCGTGATACTTGCAGTATCTAATATACTATGGGAAGGAATAGAATAAAGGTTAGAATAATTAGTTAAAGAAATATTCGCCATAAGGAGAGGAATAAGTACACACTGTAACCTCGTAAGGTCCGAAAATGCTCTGGTAAAGTTAAACTGCGTATCCAGACGCATGATGAAACTCAGCTCCCCCCTCACCTGTTATCTCTAACTATTGTCTGTTTCCCCTTCTTTCTTCTATTTACTCATCTTCCTTCCTTTACTAATCCAAACAACATTAAAAAAAAAGTAGGCTAAGAGAAAAAGTGGGGGGAGGAGGACGGAGCCATAAGATAACTGCAATCGTCCGACCAGCTGACAGCGTACAGCGACATCTGTTGCCAGCGTAAATAAAATCGTTAATTAATGCATTCCTAAAGAAACCATCGACATGGGACCAGGTTTGTTCCACTCTACCAATTTTTTGCGATTTTCCCCACCAAGTTTAATGAAAAACGAGTGTGCCGTTTCGGCTGCCCAGAGCAGATACACACACGGCTAGTCCTATAGTATATTAGATATACACCACTAAATAAAATGGTAAAAAAAAAATACATTAGTCTCACCATAACACACAAAATTATGGGCCTGGCTCAGCATAAGACAATTTCTTATCCTTTTCCAAATAACTGTTGCTTGCGTGTTAAAGTCACACGAATCGTGGGGGAGTACTATTAGCATTCACTCATTGTGGTAAAACTCTAGAGGTTTGGAAGTAAATACTAGAACTAGATGTTAAAAATGACGAAATTCCCGAGTCGAACGCTGGCCATCATATGCCACAATGCCCTGTAAATTTGCATGCTTTAGGCTGCCATTGAAGATTGGAGTATATGTGTGAGAAGAGTCCCTATAGTGCCCCGGAACAAACTGATCTCAGGCGCCAGTTTCCCATATTGTATGCTCACCTACATGACTTTATCACATGGTCACTAAGTTTTAAATGTTTCTATGGCTATCACTGAGTAAATTTGTGATAGAAAAAACGTTTTTAACTGTAATACTAAAAGAGTGTGTGTGTGTGTGTGTGTGTGTGTGTGTCAGCGTCAAAGCTCCAAGACCATGAAAACTACAGACCTGAAACTTTGCATGCATACTAAGGGGTATGCATCTATGCGTTACTTTTTATGTTTGACAAAAAAATCCCCATTCCTTGTGCATACAGTACTAAAACATTTCTCTCAGTGTCGACATCACCAGCCAACCTACCATCTGCAACCTGCCTCAGCAATGGCATAACACCAAAAAAACTCCGTGATATCCAATCCAGTTATGTACAAACCCCACTTTATATGAAAACTTTTATAATATTAACCAAAAATTCTTAAAATGGATAAATAACCCTAAAAACGATATAATAACAGAAAAAAAAACGAAGTTGATGTACAGGAATCCCAACATGGACGCCAGCTCCGCCTGATTCACATTCAAACAAGTTTGCTTAATACCAGACAGTCACTTGTACGTTGTTCCTGTATTTTAGGTTAAGTCAACCAGTCTTTCATTATGAGGACTATATATTTTATTGACCTCTTAGAACCCCTACAGTGCATTGTTATACAGTAAATGCCTATTTGTACAACATGACAGACATGCCACAAAAACCACTGACACCCATGTTGTTATCATAGCCCTATCTGTGTTGACATCCATGAAGGAGCTTGGTCTCGAGGAAAATAATGTGAATCGCCTTTGGCCTTGGAGCCAATACTCGATATGTCCAAGTACATGAAATAGTTGCTATAATAGGGCCATTCTTTCAGGCATTCATTGGGTGTGACAATGTGTCAGCCTTCTATGGTAAAGGGAAGAAGTCTTGCATGGCAGACATGGAACGTGTGTGATGAAGTCTCTAAGACCTTCACGAAACTCAGTCAGTGTCCAACAACAATCGGTAATGATTACCTTCAGATACTGGAGAGATTTGTGGTGGTCATGTATAACAGGTCTAGTGCAGATACCACTGTCACTAATGCAAGGCTCGACCTCTTTGCCTACAAGCAGAGGTCATTCGACGCAATCCCACCCAACCAGTCAGTCCTCAAAGAACGTGTGAAACGTGCAGCCTACCAGTCAAAAATCATCTAATTTCTACTGATTAGGTATGGACACAGAAAGGAAACATGCGGCAAATATACTGGACAGACCTTCCAGCGATCGCAATGACTAGCTAATAACTGACCAAGTGTTCCAACTTGAAAAACTGCAGCCATAGATGTACAATAAATGCTTCTGCTCTAGTCTCACTTGCATGGCACTGTGTGGTCACATGTGTCATTCAGCTGTTCTAAAACAGCAAACAAGACATTCATAATGAACTGTAGAAATTAAAGTCGATTTCACTAATGTCAAATTTTCGAAAACTACAGGAATAATAACCGACTTTTTTTTTAATATGAAGATATCTGCGTGTTAAAATTTGTAAAATAAGTGTTCAGCGTGTTTGAAATGATACAGCGACATCAATATCACTTAAATTAAGCATCTCCACCCATTTACAACCAGGAAGTCATATCAGCCAAATACTACTTCGAGTTGAAATTAGCCCAAAATATTAAGAAAGATCCCAAGTCCTTTTATGCGTATGAGAGGAGTAAAAAAAAAAAAAGGATACTGTCGGCCCTCTAAAGGACGAAAACAATGGAGCTCTGGAGGATGACAGACAAACAGCTGATACTGCAAATAAAGACTTTGCATCAGTAGCTGTTCACACAAGCAACAATGAATACATACCAGTACCTAAGCGAATGTATACCTTTTAGGTATACATCTGCAATTGCAGATGATATCATCAAAAATAAAGTAGCCAAGTTGAAAGAATACAAAATCCCTGGAATGGACGGAGCACAAACCAAAGTGATATAAGAAGGTGGCAAACGAGATTTGCATCCCACTTAGACTCCTATTCAGGAAATATTTGGATCAAGGAAAAGAGCATAGAGACTGGAAATCTGCCAAAGTCACCCCAGTATAAAAGAAAGGGAGGAAAAGTGCAGGAGAAAACTTCAAGCCAATCAGCCTAACATCACATATAAGGATGTGGATTTTTCCAAGGTGTTTGACAAATCCCCCATGCACGGCTAGCCTCTAAGCTAGCTGGGAATGCTGTACAGATGCCGTAGCTACTTCACTCCTGAGCAGTTGCTTCAAGTATATAAAGGATTCATTCGTCCTATTCGGAGTACTGCTCTCATATCTGGGGTGGCTCTTCTTCTGTCCAACTGTTAGATAGGGTAGAATCAAAGGTATTTCGTCTTATTAACTCTTCTCCTTTAATTGACAATCTTTCTTCCCTTTCTCTTCGCCGCAATGTTGCTTCACTCTCTCTCTTTTTCAGGTACTTTAACAGGCAATGTTCGGTGGATTTGTCATCCTGTGTACCACCGGCAAGGCCATGGGCTCATAACACACGTCTTGCCCGTGGTGCCCACCATCTTCTGTGGATGTCGGTCACACTAGAATTAACCTATTATAGTGTACGTCCTTCTTTCCTCACAGAGCCAAACTGTGGAATGCTCTGCCTTCTTCTGTTTCCACACTCATACAATGTCTCACTATAAAAAGCAGGTTTTCCGGCATCTTCGTGGTGTAGAGTAATATAAACTATTCCTTTTCTATTTTTAATTTATTTTTATTCCTATTTTTTCGTCCCCTAGGCCCCAATGCGAGTCGATGACCTGTGCTCGGGTGGACTAATCCCCGTAAAAAAAAAATATCCGGGCAAATGGCATCACAGGCAAGATTTTGAGGTGGATTAACAACTGGCTAGAAGACCGACAACAAGGAGTGGTCATAAAAGGAATACATTTTGAATGGAAAAAGGTTCTCAGTGGAGTATCTGTCATGAACAGAATGAAAACTAGCGGTGGACAGTTACTCATGACGTAATATAGGGAACCCTCGTGATTAGTTAAGATCTATGCTGTTAGTCAGGGTTGTGGCTTCCGACAGGCTGGTCGGCAGAGGGTGACAGGAGGTCGTGGTGTGGACTTCACTGGAGGAGAGAGAGTATAGTGTAATTTAACATTATCCAAACCCTCCCCGGTTGAGTATTTGTTAAAGCGTGGATTGTACAGTCACCCACAAAATTCCTGCCACCTCTTCTGCCGCTCCACGAACGCCGAGATTCAGACTCGTGAACTCGAAGCAGTAGACACTGAAGCATTGTTCTGTCCATAAATGCTTCGGATTCACGAGTCTGACGCCCGTATTATTAAACAACATCTTCCCTTAAAGAGGGTTGTCGTGTTTCAACCCGAGTTTTAAACTAAACGAGTCCTGAGGGACACCGCACTACAGTACTTAACGGGGTGGTGTGGCGGTAAAATTAACTAATTCCAATCAAATTAATTTATAATATTGGAATTAGTTAATTTTACCGCCACACCACCCCGTTAAGTACTGTACTGCGGTGTCCCTCAGGGCTCATTTAGTTTAAAAATCGGGTTGAAGCACGACGACCCTCTTCAAGGGAAGATGTTATTTAATAATACGGGCGTGAATCTCGGGGTTCGTGGAGCGGCAGAAGAGACGATAAGACTTTTGTGGGTGACTGTGCCAGATCGAGAAGCCTGTTGGTGGAAGTCTCATGTGAGAGACTGGCATGGAGTGAAGGTATAGTGCACTTGTACAGTACAGTAGGTCTCTATTTGTGTGAGTGGCCGGTTAAGGAGGAGGCGGAGTGTTCACAATCTCCAGTACAGGACCACTGCCGTCATTAACAGTAGGGTTCACCCTGGTAGATCGCTGATTAATGCAATGAGGTGTTGTCTGTGCTTGTACCATATTATAGGGATAGGCAAGACTAAATTAGGAATTATCCTTTACAGGAATATTTTCATTATACCTGTATGTCCTGGTAGAGGGGTAATGAGTTGTCTGTATTTGGTGTTTAGAGTATTGTTCCCAGTGTATGTTATATTTGGTCCTTGTTATCTCTATTTTCTGGGTATCGTATGTTACTCGTATATGTTAGGTTAAATTGTATTATATTTTGTATTGTTCGAATATATCATGTTTATGGTTGTCCTGCCAGGTGGCTAATTATGTTCCTTTATGTTGTCTAGTTATACCATGTTAGTTGGGTGCCATTGAACATAAGAACATAAGAAAATAAGGAGTCTGTAATAGACCGGTTGGCCTGTGCATGGCAGCTCCTGTCGAGAGTTACTACCACTCTCTATCATTCATGAATCTATCTAGCCTCCTTTTGAAACTTTCCAGAGTTCCCGCACTTACTACAAAGTTGCTAAGCTTGTTCCACTCGTCCACCACCCTATTTGTGAACCAGTTTCTTCCTATCTCCCTCCTAAACCTAAACTTATCCAACTTGAATCCATTGCTCCGAGTCTTATCCTGCTCGGATATTATAAGAACTTTATCTATATCCCCTTTATTGATTCCTTTCACCCATTTAAATACTTCTATCATATCTCCCCGCACTCTTCGTCTTTCTTTAACCTATCCTGATATGGAAGGTTTCTAAGTCCCGGAATCATTTCTGTCATTCTTCGCTGCACCGACTCTAGTGAATTTATATCCATTCCATAATAGGGGCACCAGAACTGAACCGCATAATCGCGGTGCAGCCTGACTAGCGCAAGATATAGTTGCAATAAGACCTCTGCACTCTTGTTACTTACACTTCTAGATATAAAACCCAATACTCTGTTTGCCTTATTTCGAACATTAACGCACTGTTTTCTAGGCCGTAGGTCCGGGTTTACAAGTACCCCTAGGTCTCTTTCACAAGTCGACTTCTCTAGGTTGATGTTGTTAAGGCTGTATACATTATAAGTATTTGTTCTTCCAATATTAAGTACGCTGCACTTGCTGGTGTTGAATTTCATTTGCCATTTTTCAGACCACCCCTGCAGTTTATTTAGATCCTCCTGTAATGCATTTGCATAATATATAGGGGTTGGTTAACATAATTATATGCCAATTATATGCCTATTATATGCCTATAAGGTTCTGTCATTATTAACGATATGATTGATTATCATGAGGTGATATTAACGCTTATGAAGTATTTTGAAAGAATATTCTGGTCACAACTGATATCGTTAAAAATGACAGAAATAAACCCCTATGATTGACCCTGACAAATGTTAGCCCTAAATGCTGCTAAGGTGATAATTGCCCATACTACAACCAATTAATATATGACATCATTATGTAAACGAGCATGTGAATCATCAATGTTGCCGGACCATGCAATGAGTAAAATTGTCTCAAGTTGTTTTAAATATTCTCCTCGTTCCAGGCTGCCATGTGCACCTCACGTCTTGTCGAGTAAAGAGTTGCCAAATCCAAATGTTTCCAACACTACTTATCTTACATCCGGATGACTTTGTAATGATACTAGATTAGGAATTATAACTAGCATATACACTATGACACTCCATGCTATCAACGTCCTACTGATAATATACTTCAGGTTGTGTGGATCTGCTATACCTGTTCATGGTGGAACCAATAGGTGGTGAATACACATTAATGTTAGAGTATAATAAATGTGTTTGCCAAATTTCTGTGTATGTTTTATGGCAAATTTATATTTACTAGCAGGAACTTCATGAACTTCCACTTCACTCCCGATCCCATCCCCTCACCCTGGCTGCCATCCCCCAGAACCACGCACCACTGAGAATCACATATGATATACTAGGATGATGTAAGTAACGTTAAGATGGAGTATATACAGTATATATATGGCTGATTGCGACTGAGGGACTCATCAAGATTCCAGATATAATACAGGCAGCTACATTACTTTTAAATTTTTGCACCTAGGGGCAACAGAGGTGATTGATCACGAAAAAAAGAATCACATTTTGCTTTTTAAGGTGATGTGTCTCCCCTCCCCCAAAAAAAAATAATATTGACAATATGCCATTCAGCCCTTCGAATTACCAGCGTTTACTTTATGTTCCGACGCCCGTAAGGTTAGAAAACAACAGCTTTACCGGTTTTATGAAACTTGATGACAACACCCTGTGGGATCCCTGAAGTGTTTATAGTCACGTTTTTTTTTCTAATTGGGTGACCCAAAATTAAAACATTAACAAATTAACGGCAATGTGGCATTGGGCTCTCACAGTTGCCAATGAAGTTATCCAATCCTCCATATAGAGGTGTTTTGTAGGGTATAAATAGGCCAAATGCACAAATCCCATTTGCGTAATTATTTTATATTTGTAGACTTAACACCAACGATTTTCATGTCCGGCCCACTCTCCCCTAATCCGATCTTATTGTGTAGTCTGTTAATATATTTCACAAGGAGCTGTCCAGGTGTGTTACAGACATTAAAAAACACACATTCGCATATTATTATACAAGATTAAAATTTGATGCTAATGTTCAATCTAATTAAATGTATTCATTATTTATTGGGTCATTCCTATCAACCCTATATTAGGTGAATGATTCTGATTCATGAGTCGATACTCCCTGGGTTCACACCTCACGGAGAGTGGACTGACAACGCTGACTGTAACAGTTGGAAAAGTCACCAACTGTACCTCCGAGTCTACGAGTAGATTACTGAATACCTAACATCCCTCGAAAAGGTTGCAACAGAGAACGATTAGGATGATTCCGGGACTACGCTATTTCGGTTATCCAAATAGACTGAGGGACGCAGGAACAACAATCTTTCAGGCATATTAGGGCAGATCTCATAGAGACATTCAGAATCTTGAAAGGGATGGAAAATGTGAACTTGGGACATATTTTTGTGATACCATGCGCCACCAACACGAAGGGACATGACCTCAAGCTCACAAAGTGATCATGCAGATCGAACATTAAAAAAATATTTCTTCACATAGAGGCTGGTAGACCTATGGAATAGTCTACCAGGTCAAGCTGTGGATTCGATATCAGTACTGGGTTTCAAAACCATAGACAAGACTATAAGAGCAATGGAGGGATCCTTTACAGGTCAGTGGCCTCCTTTCTTCAGCATGATATTGATATTAAAAAAGTTAATTTAGCCAGAAAAATACACCTCTATATGGGTGGCCATTAGGTATAAAAGGTAAATATATATATAACTATATCCACGGCCACTCACCAGTATTCTCATGTTGTAGGTAGATGGGGTCCACGTTAAAAGTGCGATGGAGGGAGCCACTGTTTCTCACCCTATGATACACCATCGCCAATTGCAGACAAGCAAATATGCAAATATACAACAAATGAAATGCTTAAGTTATTCCTCTCTCTCTCTCTCTCTCTATATATATATATATATATAGTTATCAGTATATATATATATATATATAATATATATATACAGTTGGGTCTCATTACGTTGTAATGTAACCGGAGGGTACCGCGGAAAGTGAGGAACGCGAGAAGTGAACAACATAACATATGGGATTAATAAATGGAGTCATATCCTCAAATTACTTTTTGGACGAAGGCTACCAACTTATGCAGTAAAATTTTGGATCTAACTTATGATGGTGAAGAAAAAACAAGTAACATAGAAGATGAGGTTAGGAAGATGGCTGCTGGTCATGGAAAAAATAAAGGTAAGGTTAGGAAAACAAAAATTAGGAACACTTACGGTAGTGTAGGGGCTGAGATGGGTCAGTACACGGGGATGATATTGGTTCCGAGGCAGAGGGAAGATTACTGGCCCTCAGTGAATCAATTACTTATAGGGTGAATTTATCATCACTGGTTTCTGAGAAAGATGTTGGGGCTTCTGACAAATCCTCAAAGCTGAACTTCATTGTTACATATCACTGGCTTGGTGCTTGGCTGTGGTGGGTTGCGGTGAAGAAATCTGCCGCGCCTTGTTGACGTTGAGCGTTAATGGATACACCTTGATGCACGTCCCACAGCTCCTCGCACCCAGCCGGTTGCAAGACTTGAGAAGGTCGCCAGCGCTGCGGCAGGGTAGACTTCACTCCTCTGCACACCCCACAAATCTTAATATCACTAAGGACTTAAATTGTGTTCTCTTCGGAGATCGTCACAGACCTTCTTCCCTCCTCTTCATCATTGACGTGTTCTCTCCAACATCTCCTCTGCAGTCACTTCAGGATTTCCTGATCACCCAGGATGTCGTCGCTAGAAGTCTCGAGAAGCTCTGAATCAAAAGAAGTTCAAGTAGCTTCTTCCAAGGCTCACTGCTACTGCAGCAGTCTGAACTTCACCAGTCAGCAGATTGACTCTCTCTCACCTGGTATTCCATGCAATGTCATATGTCTCCATGCGTGACGAATGGTACAAGAAGCCAGATCCCAGACTTCCAACAAGATGTCCACAGTTTTTGATGTTAACACTTCAAATTGTTTTGAAGAGTATTTTTTTATTGTTCAACTGTTGTTCCTTGTCTTCACGCTTTCTCTTGCTATCGGTGGTGGTGTTACTGTAGGCTACGCAATCCTTCCCTGTGTTGGGTAGTCGCTCAGAGTCAGAATTTTGTTGAGAATGCAGCTCATACTGCAACCAACCCTGTCCATGGGCTGATTTGAAGACGAGAAGGAAGACCACTACGTTGGGGGTGACGATCTATTGCAGGCGAGGTTCTCAGTGCTGGTCCAGAAGCAACAAAATATTAGAATGGGACACCTGCTTCAGAATCTCCTTTTTACATCAGAACAAAACACATCAAACCAGGAGAGGGGACAGGTGAGAGAAGATCCATGCCTTTACGCATAAGCCAACAGTGGACATTTAGCTTGGTCATGTCCATGTTTCTGTAAGCGCAAGGCGCTTGCGGCTGTGTGGATCACCATAACCTGAGCTTACAGGCACCGAGGCATTGGTGGTAAACAGGACGGTGATGCTCTTCTGTATTTCTCTCTGGCTCTAATCCTGCTGGGTATTCTTCACAACGGATGACTGTATGTAGTTTTTCCAGAAAACACCAGATTCGCCCATGTTAAATTGACCTGGTCGTCACTGTACTGTCCTTCCCTCCCATAATCCTATACGTAAAACGGGAGGAAATTCTTGTTTCTATACTATCACAGCACTTCCATTTTCACCGTTCACTGTTTATATATTGGTGATCTTGTTCGGATTCAAAACCGTAACCACCAGAGAAGCTGTAAAGGTCTTGGGCCTGTTCCCATCTTTCGTGCCACCAAGGTATGTTCACGGCGAGTCTCTTCACAGAGCTGTGTCGACCGCCATGTTCGCTTGCGCCCGACCACCAAGCACCCCACAATTAATTTTTTCTGTCTTGAGCAGAAGCACCTGCCGTGTAATATTTTGATCGCAGAAGCACCTGCAGACTTGTGATCTCTTATGCTCCTTTATCTGGCTGAATCTTCTTTATAGGTTCTGATCAGAGATTCGCTTCACGCCATGCCGCCGCCAAATCAATCCAGTTCTTGTCTTTTCTCCAACCTTGGATGATGCCATATCACCGAGTTTAAGGCGAACGCCGTGTCTTTGGTTTAGGTGCCGCTGGGTCCAGGGCAAAAGGTTTTTCTTGGGGTGGTGAACCGCGAAGCTATTTTACGGAATAATGGATGCTGCCATACTTGAGGGCTCTGGAGGGGATGCGAAATTGCCAAAGGCGCAGGTTGAAGGTTGTCTCTTCCTTCCCTCCTTCCCCGGTGGACACGCCACAATACTTTTTAAGCCACCACAGCGCAGCAGCAGAGGGGTAGGGATGCATGGCCAATCACAGGTCTGTTGATACGCCACATGACGTCAGTGATAACGTGAACAAAGACATACACGCGAATTCTACTGCAAGGCCAAGCTTGCCTGCAAGCGGAGGGGAGGAGGAGGAGGAGGAGGGAGAGGCAGGTGGCGGGTGGGTGGCGCTGTGGGCACTAAAAATAGCGTCGCGCGAAACTCTCCGGCGTAATGGCGTTCACGACCGCGGAATGAGCATGTTAGGTTCTGGCAAGGCAATCACTAAACGGTGAAGCGGAATGCGGAATATATATATATATATATATATATATATATATATATATATATATATATATATATATATATATATATATATATATATATATATATATATATATATATAAAACACATACACACACACACATGCACTAATAATGAGTCACATCAGTGAAATCACAAACATCTTGAGTACTGAGTTGTATAATTCAATCAGCTTGCATTTCGGAACATCACTTATTCCATCCTCAGATCAGAACCTAAAGGGACAGAGTTCTCTAGTTATATGTCTATATTCATAATAATAATAATAATATGAAGAACTGAACATTATTTTAGAAATAGAAATAATAATATCAGTAAATACAAAATCGGGAAAAATAACAAAGGCCTGTTTGTTTGATAGAACTAGCCAAAATAATAAATATATAAAGTGAAGCAGTTCAAGTGTTAAGATAAACACATAAATGTAAATTACAATAGAAGAGTATAGATGGGTACACAAAACTTAATGCCAGATACACAATAGTTCACACAAGGCCATATCACTGATAGCGTACAGTATTTAGGTTTTGTCCATTTAAAAAATGATAATTAAAGTTAACTATTTTTAGAGAATATGTACATGATGACAATCTGTCATATAATATGGTTATGTGGGGGTTATCTAGTGTCTAAAATAGCTAGTCCATAAAATGGTTAATGGGTATTCTTTTGCGTATTGGTGGGCAATGTTTTGTACATTAAATGGGAAATCTCTGGTGTATAAATGGGTACTCTTTAGTTAATCAAAAGGGATTTATTCATTTATTTCAAGTGAGGATGAAGTTTTAGATTTTTTATGAAGAATTATGGAAAGCAGAAGACACCGTAAAGTTTAATGAATATCTGATTATAATGGGTAATTTTAGCGTAAAAGTTGGGAAAGGGAAAGTCGCATCAGAAGCAGGACCACGTGGATCGATAATAGAAATGAGAGGAGAATTATTAACTGAATTTTGCAAGGAAAACAAGATGATATTTGCAAATACAGTACTCCCTCTTTATCGACGGATTTTTTATGGACGGTTTCGGATTATCGACGGATTATTTGCCGGATTTTTTTTTTTTTGGCACCAACAGCTTCTCCCAGTCCTCTCCTTGAACAGGGCTAGAGGGTACGTGTTTTCGGATCGTTTTCAGTTAAAATATTACATCACTCGTCTATTTACCTAAACTGCGCCTGAATGAATATATTCTCGGAGATAAATAGTAGTTTTGTGGAAACTTGTGACGTATTTCAATGTAAATAGGATAAAATACATGAAAAGCAAGGCTTTACTAAGCTTCCGATGTTCTTGAGATGTTACTCGTTTTTTAATAGTTTCGGTTAAATTCTGTTATATTACAATGATATTCTATTCATACTGTGTGATATAATACATTCACGGAAATGTAATATTTTGCTAAAATGACGTACGTATTATCAGTGGAAAGTGGGATCAAATTGTGATGAAACAATGACTTGCCTTTCTTTCGTTCAAAAGATGTTACCGTAATCACTTTTCGAATGGTTTGATTAAACTGTTGTATTGTATTACAATAATATCTCTAATTGACGAATAAATATTACGATACCATATTTCTGAATATTTTCATTAAATCCATCAAAATCATTTTCCTTGTCATCGTCTGCAGCACCAAACAGCTTCTCCAGTCCTCTCCTTGAACAGGGCTAGAGGCTACGTGTTTTCGAATCGTTTTCAGTTAAAAATTATTACATCACACGTATATTTACCTAAACTGCGCCTGAATGAATATATTCTCGAAATATAAATAGTAGTTTTGCTGAAACGTTGACGTATTTCAATGTAAAATAGGATAGTATATAAAACAAAAAGACTTTTACCTATGCTTCCGATGTTCTTGAGATGTTACTTGTTTTTTTAATAGTTTTCGGTTAAAATTCTGTTATATTACAATGATATTCTATTCATACTGTGCTTGATATAATACATTCACGGAAATGTAATATTTTGTTTGAAATTACGTACGTATTACAGTGGAAGTGGGATAAAACCGTGACGAAAACAATGACGCTTGCTTTCGTTCAAAAGATGTTACCGTAATCACTTTTCGAATGGTTTAGTTAAAAACCTGTTGTATTACAATAATATTCCTCTAATTTGACGGATAAATATGGAATGGAAATATACAATATTTTTTGTTGAAACTACCCGCGTTTCAGTTATGGTGTTGTAATAATAAATGGTAAACAACTTGCCTTGGGCATCCGGATTTTTGGACTTTTACTGTACTGTACACTGTTTTGTTTACTGCTGGTAGACCGATGTTCACTTCAATAAAGTGAAATCGTAAGTTTGCTCAAATTTTTTGTCCACTTATTATATTATTATTTATACACTATTATTTAAGGTTATGTGCGTAAAGAAACGCATTAATGCTTAAAGGTACATTTATTCAACATATAATAATAGTTGGAAAAATTACATGTATCTGTCGACGGTTTCTTTATCGACGGCCGTTTACAGAACAACCCCGTCGATAAGAGTACCATGGTTTAAACAACACCATAGGCATCTCTATACACGGGTCTCACACCTGGACAATGTAAACAACATACTCGAAGTCAGGAATCGTAAAGATTACATTTTAATTCAGGATAGATTCAGAAATTTAATAATACTAACGAAGACTTATCCAGGGGCAGATTGTAGGTCCCAGTAATGAGTTTAGTGAGGCCAGAACTAAAAAAAAACAAAAACAAAAGAACAGCTATGGACAAAATCAAATGGGATTTAGGTAAACTAAAAACGTGGACTGGGATCGAATATGTAATTGAAGCCGAAAATAGATTTTCTGTATTGCTAGAGTGAGACTTTGATGAACAAGGACCAGGACAACAATTTAATAATTACCAAGAAGTAATGTTGGAGATTGGAGAAATTTTATAGGACATAGGAAGGACTGAGCTAAAAGTAAATGAAATTTTAAAGCAAATGAAAAGCTAAGAAATATGAGAAAATGAAGTGAGGTTTACATAAAGAAATTATCAAAGAAATTCAAAGGGAATGCAGGTACGCCAAGAAAGATAATCTACAAAAGAAATGCAAGGAGAATGAAGATGGTGGCAGAAGGCATAATTATAGGAGAATAAATGGGGTGGAACTATTAAAACCAAAGACAATGAGATCCTGTTTGAGGCAAAAGAACAAAAATAGAGACGGGCAGAGGAACTATACAATGATAAGGATAGAGTGGAGGTAAGAAAGGAAATATAGATCGAAATACTAATTCTGGAAGAATTTGAGGCAGCTGTGAACAAAATGAAAAATTAAAGCTTGTGGGGTTGATCAGCTTCCAGCAGAATTTATAAAACAAATGGGCAAGAACCGGATAAATTGTTTGATTAAAATATGTAATTTCATTTTTGAGACCTTCCCAGTGATTTAAAAAAAAAATCAATATCTGTATTATTACCTGAAAATCCAGTAGCATTAGCGTGCACCCAGTTTAGATGAATAATTTTAATATGTCATGCTTGTAAAGTTGTATGAAACATAATTTTAAGTAGAATAAAGTATAGAATAAAAGACGAGTTATCTGCAGTGCAAAATGGATTTAGAAAGGAAAATGAAACTTGAGAAGCTATATTGCAAGGACTTGTGTGTGGGTCAGAAGCATGGACACTTTCAGCAGATTCCAGATGGAGGTTGGAGGCCTTTGAAATGTGGTGTTATAGGCGAATGCTAAGAATAAGTTACACTGACAGGAAAACAAATGTGAAGTACTAATATTACCAAAAACTTCAAGAGAAATACTTGAAATGTATAGAAAAAGAAAAGCGAAACACTTTGATCATATAATAAGGGGTTGAGGAGATAAAAACAATATTAATTGGCAAGGTTGAGGGTAGGAGGGTCAGGGGAAGGCAGAGAGGTGGGATATATAAATGAAATTAAAAACTGGGTCCCAAAAATGATACAAAACCTTGGAGGATCGGTAAAAACTACTCGAGAACATTGAGAGTGGAGAACTGTGGTCGCCAACCCTCAGATATACTTTAAGGACGATACTCTTATTGATGTATTAGATTATGAATAAATTTTTACTAGGAACAAGCTTGTGTGTGTGTATCAGCTGTATAAAAGATAATAATAGAAACCATCCTACAAACGTCTTGGTTAAGCTGATACTGAGGACGGGAGCTTTCACTTTATTTTGTGGTAATAGTGCACATCCACCATGGCTCTCGGCGCCCACGCAAAGGTACAAAAAGGCTCCGGAGCTGCCACCCAGGATGAAGACTCAACTTACAAATTATCGTTCACACATTTTCATAAAACTTCAATAATAGGAAAGGCTACAGCGATAATAGATTTTTCTTATGGATTGAAAACAGAGGAATTATCGAAGTTATGTGTTTCATGCATGTATGATCGACGATTTGTATTCAACACATGATTTTGTAGTTTCTATCTTAAACCTAATCACATTAAAAAATATAGGTGGTATAGGAGACCGAAACATAATAATCAATACATCCTTGAGCAGGAAAATCCCATATTAATTCATCACACTGCTTATTCAAGAAACTGCCACACAACTACACTGCAGACTCTATGTACCGAGGTACATCAAAACTACCACAGAACTACAATGTTGTTCTAGTAAAATTACACCACTGTGCTTCTACTCCAATTTCCCGTCAAAATTATTTAGCCTTTCATTCCAACTACTGACGGACCTAAACGAGTTTAAAGTAGTTTTCCGTTGTACAGTATTCCAATTTTGGACTTATGTTTAAGTTTGCTTTTAATATGAAAAACTAATTTATATATTGTGTGAATTAGAGGTATCATTTACGAACTCTAGGACGAAGAGATCAAGAAAACAATAACAGGTGGTGAGGGTAACTCCAGACGACCATGGTTGACTCACCACATAGCTGTACAATCGAAGTGGACCATCATCCACTTGGAAGGGTTGAAGGCGAGGGAGTGAGCGTATTCGATGCCGTTCATCAGATACCGGAATTCTGGGCAGATGAAGGCTGTACCAGCGTAAGCTGCATCTACATGCATCCACAATTTCTCCTGCTCACCTGTAATGCAAGGGCTAAGTGGAAGGATGCTTTATCACAAGGTCTTTTTGTTGTTGTTTACAACTCCAATATTTATGTTGAACCATCATCAAGGATGTGTGCATTGTTCACTAAAGATTTTAGAATCTTTTTCTGTAATCAGTTATGTTTAGTTGGGTGAGCCAGGACTGGTGGGTGTGCCAGAGGCGATCAGCCAGCTTTTTGAATCAGTCAGTCGGCCTGGAGTTCTCAGTTGCACAGGCGCATTATTGAACTCAGTGTAAAATGTTTTTGTATATACTGGACTTTGTGTTGAACCTTCATCTTACAATTCTCGTGAAATAAGCAGTTTTGTGCAAATTCTTTATTTAACAAGTGTAGTCATCTTCACGTTAATATGAAGGGCAAAGGTATTTTCGGCCATGTCAATATCACACAAGACACCCGAGTCTCGGTATGGAGTAGTTTGGTAAGTAAATTATCATCCTCTGTTTCCTCTGTACATCAATTACAATGTACAGCAATGGAGTTTTATTCCACGGACTGTGCATGAATTGAGGGAATTAGTACAGTTTGTTTTAAAAATCAGTAAGCATGGTAGAGTGGAAAATTAAAGTTGTGAAATTCCGTAGTAAACATTGGTGTTTGGACACTATCAAAGCTTATATTGGACAGGAGGTTATCGAGTAGAAATGCCTCCACAGTGTAACTGATACCCCTTCACCGCTCATGGCACACTTGATAGTGTAAAAATGCGTCATCACTGACAGTGAGAGCCAGAACTATGGTAATATCATAATAAAAATTACCAAGAACAGTGAGAAACCCACCAACCAAGTACTGTACTTACAAATGGGCCCCAGCTCCTTTAGGTGGTCGAACGAGCAAGAACCAGTAGTGCCTAGTGTGGCGCATAGCTGAAACATATAAGAATGTGGTTATCACTCTAAAACACATACTTATGTTCAACAAACTCCTATAGCCTATACACCTCGAATGGTGAAGGGATTCCTCCCTTACTGAATTTAAATTTTTGCATTAGAACAATCACGGCCAGTTTTCTGTTCCTGGTGGATAAACATCACCTAAAGATCGAACTATGGTAGTTCATGGATCCAAACACATTGCCTCTCGTGTTAGATGACAGTGTGCCCCCGTGAGCTAGAAAGAACAGTATTGTCAGAGAAAAAGAAAACCTTGTTTTTGTTATAATATTATTACTGTACTTCAACAACTAAGCTCGTAACTAGGTTAGTAGTTACACTCTTCTATCAACAATTTAAAATTATAAGAGATACGACTCCTTTCGACAACTAAACAAAGTTATGAAGAACAATGGTGTGACTCGACATAGGCTACTGGCCCTCTTTCTTCGGCACCACAGTGCCACAAGGTAACGATCCCTATTCACACACACATAGGCTCAATGCGCAGTGCGCACTAAGGGCGAAACCTGGAACTAAGTGATCAGCTGGCCTCCATGAGGCCAGCAGTATATCTTATCAAATTAATTCAATTATACACTGTTGACAAAACTACAAGCCTGTTACAATATTAACAAAAGTTACCTGGGATAATTTACCATCGAGAAGATGCGACTTTGTGGTTGTGATAAATAATTAAGACATACTGTAAACAACATAAAGTCATGCGTTCACAAATAATGATTACAATATTACTGGCAAGCCATAGGGGACATATGTGTCCGAATTTAAAGATGTTAATAAATATTAAAATAGTGCTAGTCTTTCCATAAAATAAATAAAGGACCATCAGGGAGGCAGTCAAGCATTCTCTCTCTCATGTCATTGGCATAAGGACATGCCAAGTCCATGCCTCGGGACAAAAAAAAAGAAAGCCCCACATGTTGACAACCCTTGTAAGCGACATCGACATTAATCACAAGTAAGTTCAGTTGAATTGCATACAGTGATTAGACAGTGATGGGGAAGGGGTATTCATGGTTAATGGGTGGATTATTCCAGCTAGCGGCTATCGGGTGGCGACTCACGGATGGCAGCTGTTGGTGGTGGCATTACTGATAACTGTTGGAGCCTAACAGCCAGGTTGATGACCTGATTGACCGGTTGGATGCACCCTGATTTCCCGGGTATTGCTGTGTAGGATCACAGGTGGGTGAGCCAACGCGACTGTAGCCATAGCACACACTGGATGGGCGGGTGCAGAGTCCGTGGACCACGCTACAAAAAAGCTAAGGAGTGTAATTATATGTGGGGAACGTAGGGGCTCAAACTAGATAACCTGAAGTTTACCTAGCAACCTGGCTGGTGTTTAAAGTGACCTGAATCCACTGAGGCAGGATTATCTCTGTCGCTTTCACTCTCAAGTAACGTTAACAGGAATCAACAGCCCCTGTATGCAACTGAATGAACTCTTAATGGTGTGATGTAGACTTGACGGTTTATGGGAGACTGAAATCTCATGGTACTAGTGATTAGATTAACCAGTGGCTTCTGAGTAACTGTGCTGATTCTCTATTAAGTAACTTCCATTTTCATAAAGTATGAGTGTACGTGGGTTGCTTACCAAGTCCTGGTGTAAGGTCAATAGGCCATCGTGGTTGATCTTACACTCTGGAGGCAGGGGTGCTAAGGCATTTATTTGGTGCTATGCATGTGGTGTACTGACTGAAATGGTGTATTGACATTAAAGGTGTCCACATCTGAGCGAGTGTCTCTGTGCATGGTTACGGGTATGGTGAAGGAAGCACCCACGATTTATGAGCACAGGAGTAAAGTACAAAAATACAGCTGGTGAGCCATCCTCCTGACAAGTCATTAGTGGCTCCTCGTCCTCATACAATTTCACGTTTTATGTATGAGCTTGCTGATTGAGATTTAATTATATCAGGCATTTATGATATTTTATGATTATCTTCTTGGATTTCAGGCATTTATAAAATTTTATGAATGTGTTGCTGAGGGGATGCTGGTTAGGTCATATCATCCAATATGTTGGGACACACGGTGTGTAATGGGACATGCCAGTGTCTTGAGTAATTATTGGGTCTGTAAGCTTACATTGGGACTAGTGCAACAATTTTTCCTGTGCAGATATTGTTTGTGTCTAGTGATGCAAGGGCGTGTTGAGGGGTTAATACTATGGTCATATTTTCCTGTGCAGATTATGTTTTTCTAGTGCTGTAATGGTGTGCTAAGGATTAATACAAATATCATACTATTACCTGTTGAATCTCTTTAATCCCACTCTCAGGAACACCAGTCCAGGTCACGGTACATAATAAAGGAAATATCTGAAGTTTGTGCTGATTCGTTATTCTGAGGGGCCCTTCCACTGTGTCACCATGCAGAAATCACCCCAATAAGAATTCCGATTGGTTACACACACACACACGTTTTCTTGTTTCCTTGTGGTTATCAGCATATACTTGGATCACGCTCACCTACAGTGATTTACTTGCATATATATATATATATATATATATATATATATATATATATATATATATATATATATATATATATATATATATATATATATATATATATATATATATATATATATATATATATATATATAGACAGTTAACCCTCACTTTACGCGGTCCCGCATTCAGCGTTTCCACGTTTACGCGGTGCCTTGCCAGAACCTAACGTGCTCACATTACGCGGTACGTGAACCCCATTACGCGGAGAGTGTCCGGCGCGACGCTATTTTTAGATTCGCCCCACCCGCCCGCCTGCCTGCCTGTGCTCCTTGCCTCTCCCTCCTCCTCCCTCCGCTTGGGCAAGCCGCGCGGTAAGGTTGCGCACTGTGTGTCTTTGTTGCGTTATCACTGACGTCATATGACGTATCGGACTGTGATTGGCCATGCATCCCTACCCCCCTCTGCTGCTAGCTGTAATTGGCTTAAAGTATTATGACGTGTCCACCCGGGGAAGGGAGGGAGGGAGGAAAGACGACGCTTGACCTAGCCGCGGCAGTTTCATCCCTCAAGGCCACTCCGTGTAAACGCGCATCCATTGTTCCGTAAATTGGCTTCCGCCGGACCACCACCCCCAGAAAGAAACCTTTCCTTACCTGGACCCAGCGGCACTAAGCCAAAGAAGACACGACGTTCCTTAAGCTACGAGGTGAAGTATACCATCATCCAAGAGTTGGAGAAAGGAACAAGGCAGGTTGATTTGGCGCGCCAGCATGGTGTGAATGAATCTACGATTCGAACAATAAAGAAGGATGCAGCCAAGATAAAGGAGCACATGAAGATCACAAAGTCTACAGGTGCTTCAATGATCAAGTATTTTCACAACCAGGTGCTTCTCAAGACAGAAAAATTACTTGTGAGGTACTTGGTGCGTCAGGCGCGACGGAACATGGCGGTCGACACGCGCTCTGTTAAGGACTACGCACGTGAACTGTATATGGCAGTGGCACGAAAGATGGGAATTACAGAGCCCAAACCCTTTAACGCTTCCTCTGGGTGGTTACAGAGGTTTAAGATCCGGAACAAGATCACCAATATAAACATTGGTGGTGAAGAAGCGAGTGCTGACCGTGCTGCGGCGAGGGAATTTCCTCCGTTTTTACGTGAGATTATGGAGGAAGGACAGTACAGTGGCGACCAGGTGTTTAACATGGACGAATCTGGTCTTTTCTGGAAAAAGCTACCTTCCAAGTCCTTCGTTGTAAAGAATGCCAGCAGGATTCGGGGCCGGAAGATGCAGAAGGAACGCATCACCGTCCTGTTTACCACCAATGCCTCCGGTACCTGTAAGCTCAAGTTATCGGTGACCCACACAGCACGCAAGCCGCACGCCTACAAAACCATGGACATGACCAAGCTAAATGTCCACTGGCTGACCGCACGTAAGGCGTGGATGTTCTCTACACTGTCCCTCTCCTGGTTTGATGACTGTTTCGTTCCCGATGTAAAGAAATTCTGTGAGGGACAGAATGTGCCATTCAATATTTTGTTGCTGCTGGACAACGCACCAGGACACTCGCCCCTACTGTTAGATCGTCACCCCAACGTAAAAGTGGTCTTCCTTCCTCCCAACACTACGTCTATATTACAGCCCATGGACCAAGAGTTAATCTGTAATGTAAAAGCTGCATTCTCAACAAAAAAATTCCAGCTCCTGAACGACTACACCAACACCAGGGAAGAGTTGCGAAACCTGAGTGACACCACCACCGATAGCAAGAGCGAAGAAGATGAGGATCAACAGTTGGCACAGCAAAAAATACTGTTCAAACAATTCTGGAGAGTATTTAACATCAAGAAAGCTGTGGATTTCTTGGTGGAATCATGGGATCAGCTGTCTATTGCTACAATTCGTCACGCATGGAGACATGTGTTGCATGGAATACCAGGTGAGAGGAGGAGTCAATCTGTGGCTGGTGAGGTTCAGAATGTTGCAGTAGCAGTGGACCTTGCCAGAGAAGCTGCGCAGACTGTTACAGTTCCAGGCTTCTCCGAGACCACCAACGACGACATCCTGGAGGTGATCAGAGATCCTGAAGTGACTGCCGAGGAGATGTTGGAAGAAGATCACGTCAGTGAAGAGGAGGAAGAAGGTGCGTCATTCTCCGAAGAACACAGTTTAACTCATAGTGATATTAAGGGTGCCATGGAGTGTGCAGAGAAAATGAAGTCCTTCCTTTCCCGCGACAATGACGACGACCGCTATGAAGTCTTCCATACCCGGCTGGTGCAGGCTATGGAGCCGTACATCACGGTGTATCACGACAACATAAACACCAGCCGTCAAAAAAGCATAACCGAGTTCTTCGCCCGCAACCCACCACAGCCAGCCCAAGCCAGTGATAAGTGACAGTGAAGATGACTTTGAGGGATTTGTCAGGGAAGCCTTGACAACTGTAAGTGACAGTGATGGTGATTCACCTAGTAATGGTGATTCACCTGAGGGCCAGT